GTGCATAGGTGCTACGATGATCGGAGCTCTACTGGGGGAGAGGTCTGAAACTCGGTGGAGTATGGCCTCAGTGTGACCTTTCGTCCCGCCTCGTTGCCGTCAAGCTTGCAATATTTTCTTTAGGAAACAGAAGACATTAATTGAAAGTGATGAAACCTTAGAGGATAGCTATGTATGATATTTTTTTGACATGCTGCTTATAGATATGCATTCTATTTCTCCACCTTGATTTTATTTGGTTTGTTACTCTGGGTTTTCCTCAGAGCATGGAGATTACTTTGAAAATCAAACTCTCCTTTTCGTATTTTTGCAAAAGATGTAATTTCGGAAATGGATCATCACTGCCCGGTGGGTGAACAGTGAACAAAATTGTGTAGGGAAAAGAATCAAGATTTTTTGTGGCCCTTCTTCCCACTGTAAGTTAAACTTAGTTTTTGTAGTGACTTACATCGAATTTTTTAATTTTTAACCTGCTTCTTGGCCTGGAGCCCAGGGGAACATCTACCTAACGTCAGAACTAGTTTCTCGTCCAACCTTTTTCTCCAGGATTCAAAATTATAATAACTGTGCTATCATTGGCCAGGAAGTTAGTCCCCAATAAATAAATAGTATTGTGGTTTTGTATTTATTTTTAGGTGTTCCCTGTAATTTCTCTCCCAGATGTTCTCAATCACTGTCGTGTATGTAATAATAACAGGAATCTTCCTAAAGTATGTTAGGAGCTTTTTTTTTTTTTTTTTTTTTTTTTTTGAGACGGAGTGTTACTCCTTGTTGCCTAGGCTGGAGTGCAGTGGCGCAATCTTGGCTCACTGCAACCTTCGCTTCCCAAGTTCAAGTGATTCTCCTGCCTCAGCCTCCCAAGCAGTTGAGATTACAGGCATGAGCCACCATGCCCAGCTAATTTTGTATTTTTAGTAGAGATGGGGTTTCTCCATGTTGATTGGGCTGGTCTTGAACTCCTGACCTCAGGTGATCTGCCTGCCTTGGCCTCCCAAAGTGCTGGGATTACAGTTGTGAGCCACTGTGTGCGGCTATTTATTTTTTTATAGACGGGGTTTTGCCATGTTGCCCAGACTGGTCTTAAACTCCTGAGCTTAAGCGAGCTGCCCGCCTTGGCCTCCCAAAGTGCTGGGATTATAGGCGTGAGCCACCATGCCCAGCTGTATTTTTCTGTAAAATTATTCCACTTGGTCTAATATGATCTTGGGTAGGAAAATGTCAACTACTGCAATTTAATCCTTCCCTCATTTTTTTCCCTGACAAATAAGATGGAGGTATAAACATGATGTGTCATCAGCCTTTGCTCCTAGAAAGATTTAATTGTTTAAATTACTAACTGGCTGGATAGATCACTTGAGGTCAGGAGTTCCAGACCAGCCTGGCCAACATGGTGAAACCCCATCTCTACTAAAAATGCAAAACAGTTAGCCGGGCATGGTGCCTGTAGTCTCAGCTACTTGAGAGGCTGAGGCAGGAGAATTGTTTGAGCCTGGCAGGCGGAGGTTGCAGTCAGCCGAGACCACCCCACTGCATTCCAGCCTGGGCAAGAGAGGGAGACTGTTTCTAAAAAATATAAAAAATAAAAATGACTAATCAATCTCCCCCTCATTCTAGATGTACATAGCTCTGTCTTCAGTTCATGCTCTGATCCTTTGTGGATTTCAGTTTATCTCCTGTGTCCGAGGGCAGTGGACTGGTAAGTTCCCTGGCTGTCTGTCATTCCTGGCCGTGCATGCTGTTTTTGGGTAAAAGGGGAAGGCTTTAAAGGAAGAACCAGGTTTCCAATTTTGAAGGAAATCATTGCAATTATTTTAGGAATTGAATTTTAAAGAATTAAGTTTTAACACCACCATTTTTCTAGTATATTGTTTCCCCAAAAGCTTGTGTCTGTCTCCTGGTCAGCTAGCTAGCTCTCCATTGTTCAAACTAGTCTTCGCGTTGCTTACGTGAGTGATCGACCCTGATCAAATGTAATGAAAACAGGCGCTCATTATCCTACCTTAGATATGCAGTGAGGTCTGGACTGGCTTGTCCCACCCCAGGTGGAAGCACTGCTCACTGGTATGGGTGCACACAACTCCTCTGGTTTGGCTTCAGTTGCCATTTAATTCACAAATACAGTGTCAGTAGAAACCTCAGACTCTTTTGAAACCACTGGCCAGGAAGTCATGGTATGAATTTTGCTCGGAGGGGCGGCCCTCCGTTGCTCCTTGGAGAACAATGAATGCGCCCATTTAGCAAGTGAACAACTTCCCCCTGGAAGCCGGCCAAACACTCTGCCACTCGGGGTATTCAGGACCAGTTATAACCAACTTCCTCTTGTCCGCAGAATGCAGTGATTTTTCACCTCCGATAACTGTAATCCTGTTGATCTTCCTGTGCCTTGAGGGTCTTCTGTTTTTCACTTTCACTGCAGTTATGTTTGGCACCCAAATCCACTCCATATGCAACGACGAGACGGTAAGCTTTGTTCTCGGCTGTGTGGACTTCATATGTGGTCCAAGCTTGAATGGAAATTCCTAATGTCAACAACAGGTGCCTGTGGACTGACTCGGGAGCGTAATGCGATGGTCTTGATGAGCTTCAACAGGCTCCCTGTGTTTGCTGTTTCTTTCATTCTGTGCGGTGCATATTTCTAGTCTCAGTTTGATTTGCGAGTCAGCAGAGCCAGGCAGATTCCCAGCTCCCAGTGCAGTCAGTAAATTTTAGGGAATTGACTGCCTTTAGGGCTTGGCTCTGCAGGCCTGGAGTGGCGCTCAGTAAATGTTTGTACACAGTAACTAACAAGTGAAAAATGTCGGTGCCTGGCTGGGAGGGCCATCGTGGTAGTTGGGGCTGGCCGCGTGGCTGCAGCGGGGCTGGGCTCACAGAGGCCGTGGGGGTCTGGACTGGGGCAAAGCTGGGAAAGAGAGTTCACTCACCGACCCTTCATCGAGCCCACACTGTGCTTGAGCACGGTGTGATTCCAAGGCTTGGTGGGGTCTGCTGAGCTTCCTGGAGCCGCTGCCACTTGCTTTTCTTTCTGCTTCCAGGAGATTGAGCGATTGAAAAGTGAGAAGCCCACATGGGAGCGGAGGCTGCGATGGGAAGGGATGAAGTCCGTCTTTGGGGGCCCCCCCTCACTCCTCTGGATGAATCCCTTTGTCGGCTTCCGATTTAGGCGACTGCCCACGAGACCCAGAAAAGGTGGCCCGGAGTTCTCAGTGTGAGGCCCGGCTCATCAGCCTGGAACTGGCTCACAGACATCCACTTACTTGTTTGGGGTCTGAAGGGTATCAACAGCTCATCTGTGACCAACAGGGCAACTGGAACCTACACAAACCAATTGCTTGCAGCAAGCAGAGTTTTATATATTTATAGTCACAGATGGCAGAGGAAGAGGCTCTCAGTCCCCACCTGTACAACGACGGAAAGGTGTGTGGCCATGCAAAGAAGCCAACCACCATGGCCTCCTGCAGAGTTGGGACTTCTGTGGAGAAGACTGGGTTATTACATGGGTTATTCAAATCCTGTGTACTGAGCTGCTGTTTCCAATCATGAAAAACAGTCAATCCAGTGAACAGGGATTCTCCAAGCAGTCATTTCAGGGGGCTCCTGCTGACCCCGCCACTCAGCAGTGCACTCCCCGGATCACAGCAGGGCGTTTACATAGAAAGACGTTTTGGTCTCGATTAGCTCCGATGCTTTGCACTGAAGTTGCAAAAGATCTGTGCACTGAACAGTGAAGGTGGCTTCCGGCACACTCCCCGCTGCCCCGGAAGAGACATCCTTTGACTCTCAGCAAGTCTGTGTGTGCGTGTGTCTGTGCGTGTGTGCGCGTGTGTGCATGTGTGTCCAAATTGCTAGTGTTGTTCAGGCAGTGTAACATTTACCGGCTGTGTACAGCAAACAAGCTATTTTTTAGAAACCGACGTTTCAGGGAAGAGGGGAGAGAACCACGGGGTCCTGCCCGTGGTTACTATGAATGTATTGCTGTTGGAGGACATCTTGATCCAAAGAACAGCCGTTCCTGTGCGGCCCTTTGTTGCCCTCCTGCTTTCATTTTTTAAAGAAATCTTGAGTGCTTGAGGGCCTTGGAACCGATTTTTTTTTTTGTTCCAGCCAAATTAGCAGTGTATAGATGGCACCTAGGTAAGAGCAGAGCCGTGGCTCAGTGACTTGATACTTTGGGCAGCTGGATCCTGTTAGTGGTGTGTGGGGCAGGGGAGGCATCCCAACTGGAGAGGCAGGGCCCAGCTCTTGGGTACCTCTGGGAAGGTGAGGGGACCATGAGGCAGCCAGCCCCTGGCAGGGGCGATTGTGCCACCACACAGGCAGCGCTCCAGCTGGGAATGGTCGGATTGGCGCCCTCGTTGGATTTTTTGGTTAGCGTTTGTTTAGGTGATAAAATGGGATCCTTGGTGCGGAGCTTAAAATGACGCCAGAAAGCCAACAGCTCCCCTCCGTGGGGACTTGCCTTAAACTTGCCTGGTTTGTACATTTTTTGCCGGACGCATCAAGAAGCAATCTGTGACCAAGTCTGAGGGTCTTCCTTTAAACGTGCCCTCCATGCTAAGAGAAGCTGGCGTCTCCCTCCCGGAACGGTTTTGCCTTTCTGTTCATCTGTGAACTGTTTTGTTTTTAATTACTCTGTACCCCATCCGAATCAGGGCTTCTACTGCTGCTGATGCAAAACCACAAAGGGACCTACCTGAGCCACCGTCCTAGCCAAGCGAGCAAACCTGCAGGGGGTTTGGAAGTGGACTCGGTCACCACAGAAGTGTGTGCGTCACTGGGGGAAGAACTGCGTCACAGCCACCGGGACAAAGCATAGATTGTGGGTGATCCTGGAGACACGAGTTTCCAGGATTGTTTTGCATACTCATTTGCACATTGTTGTCTGGGTTGGACACGCGTGTGGGCTTCAGTGTGAGGCTTTTAATATGTATATCCTGTTATATCAATAAAACAATTATCCAAGTGGTTGAATCCTGTGAGACTTGGCAAGTGTGTGCAAATCAAGTATACTTGACTTTTCAACCTCTTCTTTCAATGTAACTTTTATATGAAATAAAGTAATCAATTGACAGTTCTCAAATGGCTTCCAAAGTGCCTGTTCTTCATGGATGGCAGTGTTTTCAGGGGGTGCCTTTCTGTGGTTCGTGGATCCAGCCTCAGGCTGTTAAGGTCACTCCCAGTTTCCAGAACCTCTACATGCTTTCATGCCCATGACGAGTGACCTGGGCGCTCAAGCGCGACTCATAAATGTTGCTCAGTGAGTACTGCTGCTTGTTGAATGTTTGACTCCCATCGTTTTACTTAGTCCTTTTTTTAGTGCACTTTAAAAACAATGTTTCAAAATCTCTCTCCATAGTCCAGAATCTCAAGTACCTACAATTTAATTCATTCAACAAATTTGTCTAATATTTGCACTGTGAGGGAACCAAAATGCCCACTTAACTTCCAGAGGCCAGATGGTCAGTGTGTGCCACAGCCCTGCCTTGCATGTGCTGTGCCTTGGGGCGCCTGGTGGCATTCCAGAGACGCAGAAATGGGAAGGAGACTTGAACGCGGAGGCGCGCACCAGAGCTGGGCCACTGCATGGGCAGCAGCCCTCCAGCTTGTATTTGTGGCTCTGCTGCATGTTGCTGCAATGTTATTTGTATTCCTTCTATTAGATTGTTACGTAGGCTCATTATATAGAAGTATGACGCTTGCATTAAAACAAAAATATCCCCCAAATAGGAAGGTGGCTAAATCCTACCTTCTATTGTATGTGAACTTGGGTTGGGTATGGAAGCAGAGGAAAAACTTGAAGGGTAGCCTGGGAGCCACACACAAAAAGCAGGGTGCCCATAAAAAAAGCACAGGCGCCCTACAGCATCTCCTGAGGACCCTCTTTAAAACTGCGTTGCTGCTTATCCAGCTGCTAATTTTAGCCAAGACAACCTGAAGAGGCTGAGGGAAAATCATCTGGTTTTCCCTGTGGCTGGTTCTGCGAGCTGAAAGCTGAGCCAGTCTCTGAGCTATAAGAGAACGAGTGGCTCAGCGGTCAGGCCCGATGGGCCCGTGCAGGTGGCTTCCTAAAAGGGCCAGCAAGTTTCTGAAGAAGGTTCTAGGCACAGCACATCTGCAGTCCAGAGAACTGTGGGTTTCCTGCCTGCTCTCCCGTCCCTATTCACCGAATATATGTGCGTCCCATGTTTCGTACATCATCAAGTTTAGTTGTGATGACTGAATACTTTGCTGCTAAACCAGATAGGGGCCTATGATTTTTTTGTCCAACTTTTTGCTTCTACAGAGGTGAAGCTGCCTCGTGTGTTCCCGTTCCAGCTGTCACTGAGTGCCTGCACCCCAGCCAGCCTCTGCCACGGGCAGCACCTGCACTGCCTCCCCCATTCCCTGCTGAGAGGGCCTGGCTTCTCCAGGGTTGGTGGGTTCAATCTCCCAGGTCCCAGGGTCTACACCTTCCAGATCCTTGAGATGGGTAAAGGCGCTCCTGGGGGAGTTGCTGGAGAAGGGGTGCCTTATTCTTCAAGTTTCCGTATTTGGCCCACCTTAAAAATGCGCTTATTCTGCATCACTCTGCGTTTGGTATGGTGTAGCTAAGTACTTTTCACTGAGCCTGTTGGAGACACAACCCCACCATCTTCTGCTCCCAGAGCAGCCATGGAGAGCCCACACTCTCCGGCCCCTGTGCTATGTGACTTAGCTTTCTTTTTTTTGGAGATAGGTTCTTGGCTGGGTCAGACCCAGGCCTGCGATCTGCGCCCAGACTGGCAGTAGCAGTGCATGGTCCAAGTTCCACTGCAACTCGACCTTCATGGACTCAAGGATGTCTGTTCCTCAGGCTTTGAGTCGCTGGAGTCTAACAAGGCGCTTGTCAGCAAGTGCCCAAGATAAGCTTTTTGTGTATTTTTGAAGGAGACAGGGGTTGCTGTGGTTGCTGCCGAGGCTGGTCTCGAACTCCGTGAGCTAAAGTGTGATCTGCGCCACGGTCGGCCTCCCAAAGCGCCTGAGATGTATAGGCGTGAGCGCCGCGGCCTGGGCCCACAGCCTCTCGTTTAGTCCTCAGTTTCTCAGGGGTTGGGGACGACAAGGTTGCTTGGCCTCGAGTTTCCTGGCTGGCTGTGCTGGTTGCTCAGCTAGATTTCTTTCCCCTGACACTCAGTTTGTCTGGTTCTGGCAGACATTCTTGTGTGAGTCTTGGGGAAGTCGCCATTCCACTCCATTTCTTTTCTAATTTGTAAGATTTGCAGTTTTGAACCGCCTGTAGACCTGATCCCGATTATTTCTTAC